CTGTGTCTTTATGCACAATGGCATGAAAACCAATCAAATGGAACTGATTTGTGATTTGAGATATATGAGTTATTGAAGGAACATCTAAACTGGCTCCTGGGTCAAAGAATTTGGGGTATACATCAGCTTCTGATGACAAGCTTATAGGAGGCATGCTCCAAAGCTTGTAGGTTGGTAGTGCTTCATGTTTACTATACTGGGAAATTATCTTACCGCATTCTGTGACGATGACCACGAGTTTCCACTTTCAAATGAGCTTGATGAGAAATCATGTTGCGGTGATGAGAAATTACGAAGTGGTGATGAGAAATCATGTTGCAGAGAGCTCATGTCGATAAACTTGGTTCCAGAGTAAGATGCCGAAGAGGTGGAGCTTCTGCTGTCCAAATCGGAGTTGATTGAAAAACGCGAGGTCATTCCTGATGACATGCTGTCATGGAATGAAGGAAACATGTGATCCCTGCCTGGCGTTCCGCTGCTTACGTAAGATATATCACTGTCCGGTGGAAGCTCATATGATTTGTTCAGTGCAGAGTTTCCTCTGCTGAAAGGTGACCTGTATCGTTTTTATTTGGTTAGTCCTCTTATCAATTGTGACTAAACACCTTATTTTCTAGAATTACTTATATTTGTTGAACATCTATATCTAGAAATTCTTAATGGAAACTTCATCTAGGCAGCCTAACAATCCAATGAGGAATAATGGTTAAAATAGGAGATTGAAAAAAGATTACTGGAAACACTCCAGAGTTTGTAGTCTAAAAACATTGATGGTTGTTAGCATCACTTCCATGATTAATTGTTTTTAACATCACTACCTAAACATCTATAAAAATCTCCACTCCTAAGTAATCAATGTATCAGAGCTTACATGATTTCGTTTTCGTTTGGATGCCTACGGGCTGAAAACTGTGTCCTTTCTGGTGCTGTGTAAATCAAAGAAACTTGAGTAAGTAGGGACAAAAATTAAGCATTCTTATGAGGTGGGAAATGACACTGCATAACGCTAGAATTAGAGAAACAAACCTCTGGGTTTATGATTGCTCATCATCATTTGTGGATAAGATTCAGAAGCTTTGCTGGAGTGATGCTCTATTTCATGAGGTGGTGGTGAGACTCTTTCAGGTACTGAACCGGTAGCGGATCGCACAATTGAGATTTTTCCCCGGCCAATGACATACACCGTGCAAAAGTCGGGTGCCTTTTTCGACACAGTGGTTGGAACGTCCGTGGTCATGAACCTTTTGTGAAACAAGATTGATGAAATTATTAGGACTGCTAAGGAGATTAGAAGATATGCATAACAAAAATCTCAAACATAAAAGAAATATTTATTATTGTGATTAATCATACCTGAAAAGACCATTCTTTGATGGTGTGCCAAGCACCAAAATCTCAATTAAATTAGTGGTAACATAGTTGACGAGGGCTTTAGATATATCAGTGTCCTCAATTATGATCTCATGGCATTTTATCTGCACATGAAAGATGAAATCATAAGGAGATGAATTCTGGTGTGGAACAAAATTAATGATGTATAAATTAATTAAGAAGCATGTATGCATTTACTCACAGCCTTTTTGGTGCAATAGCCGCGGAATGGAAGAAACAGTTCTTTGGCTTGAGCATCAGCTTGGCTTTGGTGCACCTTTCCGGCCTCCTCTGTCCCATGCCCGGCTACACGATTGTGAGAGTAAAACAGGGGAAATTAGAATATAACAATATGCAATTGCAATTGGATTTTCTATTTCACACAATTGAATTGTAAACATTAATTACAGTTGTTTTTGTTCATTTGATTAGGTACATTATTTGAATATATAAGGATGAAAATCTAACTACTCAGCCCCTTTGATTAAGATCATCATTCATCATCATCATGCATGCATATATAAGAAACAGATAACAGAGAGAGAGAGAGAGAGAGAGAGGAGAGAGAGAGAGAGAGAGATTGAATTACTGTGGTGATGGTGGTTATGGTGGTGAGATGCAGTTCCTTTGACATGGAGCAATGTGAGATTTTGGCCCCTGCTGAGAAGATTATCAACAGCCCATTTGATAGCATGCTGACTGCCTTTGTCCTTGTCTACTGCCACAGCCACAGACTCTTCCTTCTTTCCAGGTTTCCCTCTAAGTCCCATTTCCCTCTTTCTTTCTCTTTCAATGAATGAAATAAACAATTGATCTCAAAATTTTCTCCAACAAAGTACTCTAACCGGCAGCCAATGCCAATTACAATAGAATGATATGTCTGAGAATTCACTGAGATTCTAACCCACAATAAAAGAAACCTGAATATATATTTTTCTTCAAAAGCTTATCTTTGATACATACAATAAAACTGGAAATGGCTTGGCACAAATCCGTGCTACAGGTACTTTGATTATTATAGAGGAACTTGGGCAGAGTTTGTTGGCTCTGTTAACAACAGAGAAGAAGACAGACAGTTAGTTTGTTCTGTTAACTTAAGAGTGCCAAATTCCTTTTCTTAACCATCTTCTCTTGTCTCTATATTAAGCTAATCTGACTGATAAAATCTGAATCTCGAATTTAGAGCCTTCTTCCAAAATTAGCTAACGTGCAGGCCCTTTTAGCTATGTAGGCCATAAAGCACAAAATCTAGGAGTTGATAGCTTCAAGTTTCAACGGATATTTGTTAATTTGAGGCACTTCCATGTTCTAGATTTCTTGACGCAAAGCCTAGCTAACAAATTTGATCACACGGCTTTTGACCAACAAAAATTAAAAATTTGATCACACGGCCCAACAAAAGGTGTGTTGAACATTTACCTAACTAGAATATTGCATTTTTTTTCTTCTTTTATTTTTGGTACAATCATCATAAAATACAATCTTACCATACACGTAACGCAACAATGCCAACATGGTGTGTTACGAACCCACCAAATTTTATGGCATGTATACAAAATTTTATGGCAAGAAACCCAATGCAAAAGCCGCCCTTTAGTGGCGGAGTCAGAAATTTATCACATTGAGAATGTGATAATTAAAAGCTCACAACCTCAGCCAGGTGTGCCTCACAGCCTCAGCCTTTTCTTTTCACCTCAGAGCTATTTCATCAAATTCCTTAAGGTTAAGATTGAATATTGGGGTCAAGATTAGTGGAAGAAAAGAAATAGATATTGGGGTCGTCTCACCCCCATTGATCACATACTGCCGTTGCAACTACCTGCACAGAAGCTAGATAGATTGCTGATCTTCTAGTTGCCCCAATTGGTGGGTCGTTGGCATGAGTAAGTTTTTGTTGTGACCATAAGTTCATCAAATCGTCAACAATTGACTCATGTTATAACACGTTCGGTGACAGCTATGAGATAAAATTATTATGTGAGTTGTTCCTCCTCGTCAAGAGGGATTTATATGTAACTCCATAATCCATGCATAACGATAACCTCTTAACCAAAGCTGAGTTATAATTGATGAGGACTTTCCAACAGTGATAATGACAAGTACAGCAACGATGAAGGTGGGATTGGTTTTTCAAACTCATACTCAAGGGCTTGATTTTGGTTTGTAGCTAGTGAAGGTGGCTGCATTTCAAAAGTCAAGAGGGGTGAATTGCTTTGTGAAAAACAGCACTGCCACACAGATTGCCCGTTTGATAACCATTTCATTTTTTGTGCTACAGTATAAAGGAAATGGGAGTGAGGATGAGATTGAGAGAGAGGATGAAAGGGGAGTATAGGAAGGGGGAGTAACAAAAGTGAAAACAAAAACTTGAAAGTGAAAACAATTTCAAATAGAGTTCTATTTTTAGTTTTAGTACTTTTCACTTTTATTACTCATCCTTCCCATCATTCCCTCTTATTTTCCCTCTCAATCCTATCTCCACTCTCATTCTCACTTCCATTCTCCCACTTTTTCCTCTATACTCTAGCACACAAAAATGATAACTAAAAACTAAATTGAACTGGTTATCAAACGGATTAACTTGACGTCTCTTGTCTTTTCCATAAAAAGCAAAACTAGACCGACCTCTCTTTCCTTGTAATTGTGCTGCTCAACAATTTAGACTTCAATTGTATGAAAAGTTTAAATAAAGAGACTCCCCCAGGAAGACATATATATTATCAATGGCAAAACTTTCTCTTCAGCGCAGCCACAGGAGCCTATAGAAGGTAACATAGACTCTAACCAACTGCATGCACATTGCTCTTTATAATACAATCTTTATAATATTGAATTCAAATTGTGTGCAGAAATTAGGCAGGAAGCCAAAATAAAGGAGCAGTTGAGACCTCTGGCTAGAACGAAGTGTGAGAGCTCTCGTTTTTTTGTTCGGCGATTTGCTTGGATTTTGGGAAGGGCAGCTCAACCTCCAGACCCCCTTCAAAACTAACAGATAGCCGATTTGTGAATTTACCTAATAGCAGAGGTGGGGACTTTGATCATCCAAGAAAAAAACCAACTCCAGCACCTAGAGCACATCTATACTTCTAATATATAAGAAGATTCTCCTTAATTTCTGATTCAAATCTTACTTTCTGATTGGTTCCTTCCTACTTCCACTCTCATTTTTATTTTCCAACCAATTCACTCATTACGCATGTCTCACTTCCTTTCTTTACACATTCAACAAAATGTGATGAATCAGAAAGGTGCGTAGTACTCCTGGTGTTAAATTGGGCCTTATGGAGTTTAAATGGGCGGGTCGTTGGCCGGCCAGGCTATCTAGTCGTCGGTCAAACGATGATTCCTACTATAGTCTATGCTTAATCACTAGATTTTATTGCAAATTAACTAATCAATGATTAATTGACTCCTAATCCCATGACTATTTTATAATTGATCAATGCTTTCCAACAGGGAGAATGACAAGTTCAACAATGGAGGTGGATTTGGATTTCCAATCTCGCAAGCAATGATTTTTTTTTTGACTAGTTCGCTTTCGCTTTCGTTTTTGTTTCTATTTTCCCTTTAAAAGTCAAGTCAAGGGTGATTTGATTTGTCAAAACAGCTGTGTGAATGTATCACACATCTTAACTTGACCTCTCTTTCCTCGCAATTGCCCTTGTCAACATAGCCTTCAATGTCTGCAAACACTAAATAAGAGACTTGAAGAAGTCATCCCATGCATAACTCAAGCTTTCTAAATTAACAATGGCGAAGCTCCTTCTGGTATCAGCCTCTGCACTAGTCTTTGTCATCCTATTGCTTGAGCTTAGGTTGGCTTACTCTTCAGCCGAACCACAAAGGCCAATAAAGGGTAAGGTTTTTAACTTTAAACATTGCTCTTGCTGATATGTATTTTTCATCATTCCATTTATGCCAATAATGCAGCTGCTAACACCTGTAGCTGTTCAGAAAGCAAGGCCAACTTTGATAAGCAGCGATCAGCTCAGATTTTAGGAATGGCAGCTCCACGTCTACGACCCCTTCGGATATTAACAAATGCAGGCAGGGACCGTGATCATCCAAGAAAACCCAGTCAAGCATCTCCTAAAGCACCACCTGGTGGACATCCCTAGTACGAGGATCGTGTCTTGTCTAAAGATTCGTAGTGACAGTAGGACATCATTGGATTTTGCAGTGACAACATAGACAAAACAGAGCAAAACTCTGACCTGTGTATAAATTGCAATGTTTCATTGTTGATTTCCTGCGCATATATGTATGAAACTGTTTGTTTCCCAAGAATAAATTAACAGTTGGTGTGAACTGCCTGCCACCTTCATGAATAAATAAATTGAGAACCAGTTAAAGTGATATTTCAATTGCAATCCTCTATTTTGTGCAAGTTACCTCAATTGCACCTGCTTCGTCGATGCATCTGTTGAAAAAAATTGTTGTAGAAATCGAACTGAAGGAAAAAAAAAGAAAAAGAAAATAACTAATCATCTACATAGTAAAATTCTGATATAGTGATGCACCGACACCGAACTTGAGAACTTTATTCATCAAAATCTGAAAATAGTAAATAAAACATAAACATGGGGAGAGCTGATTGACCAAAAAAATTAGAATACCTAGTTTCTCTCTCAAAAAAACTGAGAAACTTTCTACATTATAACTTGTTATGTGAGAGATTTGAGGAAGGAAAAAGCTGATGCTTCTTGGTATCCTATGGTTTCAGGTTTTTGATCTGCATATATTCAATGAACAGAAGCCGATATAGATTGCTGATTGTACAACCTAGTTACCCCACTTCTGAGCTGCCGGCTTCTTCTCCTCTACATGACAACTGTAAATCCTTCGGCATCACCTTCCTTTGTATTTACATCCGTTGTTCTTGGTTGCTCAGAGCCACTGGATTCAGAAAGCAAGTCCTTCTTTCTTTCATTCCTTCATTTCCATGGTGAATTTTTATAATTGCACTATCCTTTTATATGTCATCTGAATGTGAATGGTTTTCCTGCTTACTTTCGGTTACAGGATCCTTATTCTGCTGGACATATTTTATCATGAAGCTGACCAATATCTGCCTTGCAAGCTAAAAGGATCCTTGTTGTGTGGCGAATTGGTTAATTTATTTTTTTGTTTACTTTTTTCTTTTGGCTTTTATTTGATTATTTTTTTTGTTGTTGTTTTTTTTTTTTTTTTTTTTTTTTTTTTTTTAGTTTTATTGGTTATTTGTTTTTGCTTATGTCCATGTGGAGTGCATGAAATAATGCCCACGAAATGTATAATACCAAGTTACTACAAAACACACATTGCCACCTCATAAGATTTAACAGAGTTTTAGATGGAATTGACGGCATGGGGTAAAGTGGGTCACCAAACCATGGTAGGGGGGGGGTAAGTGGGTCACTTTAAGTTTGAGGGGTCAATGTGAGATTTGACCGTAGTTTCAAGGGGCATTGGTGTAATTAAGCCTTACAATAATTGAGTGGGTGATGTGGCAAGTGGAGCTTACTTCTACATAGATAAAAACATAACTAAATATTTTAATAATTAAATATATAATTAAAATAAATCAGAAAAATTACATTAAAAAAAAATTAGAACTAGATATTCTAATAATTAAAAACCCTACCCAGCCGCCCTAATCCTCCCACCCAGATCCCACCCAAAAAATCTTTATCACTCCCCAAAAATTCTTCACGAAGGACTCCACCATCACTGTCAAATTCGCCGTCACCACCACCTTCCTCTTGCACTGTCAAAGACTTCGAAATTATTCACCCTCACATTCGGCACATAAAACCTAATCAAATTAATAAATAAAAATTAAATTTAAAATGTCAAATTAAAATGTAAATGAATTATTTTGGACAAACTACAAAAGACTCACAACACCAACACCCACAACACCCCTCTCTCATCCATCAAAAAAATATTAAAAAAGTTCATTACTCATTTTTGGGGACATTTAGAGCATCTCCAATAGTATGAGATTGGGGCTTACATTTGCCACATCAGCATAACAATGGGGGCAATTTGTAGGTTTTTTTATGACTTTGAGTATGAACTTGGTAAATATCCCAAAAAAAAATGGGTTTGAACTTAAAAATGACCCTATAGTTTGGGGGATCTTTTGTAGTTTGTCCAATTATTTTTTATTTGATTTTTGCGTACCAGGGGAGGGCGACACAAGAGGTGAGCTCGATGTCATAGATGTGGAGGCTGGAGAAGGAGATGAAGATGGGGATTTGGATATGCTGAGGGCTTCAGAGAAGAAGTAGGCGACGATGACAAGGGGGTGGGAGGGGGGGGGGAGGAGGCAGCCAGCTTCAATGGGGACAAGCATGAAGTAAGGGTGGGATTTGGGTGGGAGGATTGGGGAGGCTGGGTAGAGTTTTTTTAATTATTAGAATATTTAGTTCTATTTTTTTAATGTAATTTTTCTGATTTATTTTAATTATGTTATTATCTATGTGGAGGTGGACTCAAGTTGTCACGTCACCCACTCAATTGGTATAATGATCTATATGTATGAAATTACAAAAACACCCTTTCCATGTCATAAATGTTAACAGACTTTTGGATAGAGTTGACGGCAGGGGTAACATCAAACATTAAACCTTGGTCAAGGGGGAAAGTGGGTCATTTGAATTTTGGGGGGGACAAACTGAGCTTTGACTGTAATTTTGGGGGTATTGTTATAAATCAGCTTATTTTTTTATTATAATCAAGCAACTCATCAACTTTGTTAAAAATCATATCAACCATAGGTTCTTGTGTTGTTTCTTCTTGGGCTCATTGTATTATCCATTTCAGTCTCACTATTTGCAATCGTTTTTTTGTCAAACGCTAGAGAGATTGCATTTATAAATTACGTCATAAGTGCAGTACAAATCCAAAAGCCTCAAGGGCTAGAACAAACGCCCCTGAAGGGCTACACCAAACACTGGGGAATCTAATCACAACATCAAACTTATATGGTACACCTCCAATTAAAGCCATGTAGAGCCAACTTAATGCCACACAAGGCCACAGACAGTCGGGCTTAATCACCTCAAATCTATAATAACCAAGTATATAACCCATAACACAACTTATAAACCCAAACTCACCCGAAGAGAAACCACAACCACAAATCAATAACTCAACAAAGTTGATGCACTTATTGGACCAAAACAAAAACTGAAAACCAACAACAGCCAACCCCAGCCCCTGAAAATGGCTCAAAAGAAAGCATTTGAATGGATTCTTGAAGATTCTTCCATCCTAAATCATTCAAAATATAAACTTCCGGTAACACGTATGTAGTATAATACCAATTAATTTAAGATTGTATATATGTATGTGTATGTCATTTAAATTCATTCAAAATAATAATAATAATAATAATAATAAGATGAACTATGTATAAATACATAAAGGAAAACATAGAAGAAATAAAATGAGACATGAATGGGAGGTAGAGCTGGGCATATGGGATCGAAAACCGGCCAAACCGGTCGGTCCGGTTTGGTTTGGTTTTTTCCCTTCTCTTTTTGGTCAATGGTGCATGAACTGGGCCGAACCGGTGGTCATGGTTCGGCGCTCGGTTCCTAATTTTAAAAATCATCGGTTAACCGAACCAAACCGAAAATGTTAAATTATATGTAATTAAATAATTATAATACACGTAAATAGTGAATGATGCATATGGTTTACTTTGAAACTTTGGATAGATGTGAATGATGAATGATGCATATGTTTTAGTTTGAAAGGATTGATTGAATGAATGAATTTGAATATGTTGTGATGTGAATGGTGAATGAATTTCAAATAGGTTTTGAATGAATGTTTGAGTTTGAATGAATTTAGAGTCTAAATGTTTTCAAGCAGGTTTTTACCAAACCAAACCGAGGTAACCGGTTAACCGAGATGATCGGTTTCCCACCTCATTGGTTCGGCTCACAGTTTGAATTTTCTCCAAACCGATGTTCACAGTTCGGCACACGGTTTGGGCTCAAAACCAAGCCAAACCAAACCGAGCCCACCTCTAATGGGAGGTACAGATAGAGCCCACTTTGATAGAGTCAATCGTACAAGCCAACTTTGGTGGCCTCACAAATATAACTAGCAATTCCAGTCATTAAGGCCTTCCCTTTTTCCTCACCATAAATGCAAAGACAACTAGATATGACCAACTCCTTTTTTTCCAATTCAAATTCCTCATTCAAGAGCACCTAATTTCAACTTATATGAAAAGTCCAAATTTGAATATTGGTTCATAGTTGTCTTAGTATTATGAAATATTTACAAACTATATCATCTATCTTACTTGTCAAAATCCTGGAGAGAGAAAAATTCTTAGTTGTCAAGTCCCTTATTTTTAGTATTTTATATTTAATTTTTAAGCTTAATTTGGTAACTTGCTAAGTTGGATATTAATAATCGGGTTCTTCTTCCTTCCTTCTCTGTGCGTCCTCCCCCACACCCAAGCCTTGCAACTTTCTTAAAAATTGAACCAAATGATTTAGAATATTTGGTTTCTTTTATGTTTTTATGCAAGTCATTTAATTTAATTTTCCTGTTGGGTTTTGGGTTAAGGTTGGCATTCATAATTCTTTCCATTGATTGCTTGAAGTTGTTTGGGTGCATGAAGCCCTAATCTTTTTTGCCCCGAGCTTGATCATATCTTATCTCGATCTATTTCCATGGTTTATATCTTATCTCAATCATTTCTTAATATTTAACACTAAACAACAAATGTAAAAAGAGTTTTAGTACAAAAACAAGACAGTCTCATAAATTTTGGGAAATGCACCAATTCAATTCATCTCAACACTGAAGGTTTCAATCATAACATTTATTGTGATGCGGTAGGTTTAACACCATTTCTTCACTCCACCATCGCATCTTGTTTCTTTCTTACTTCCATATTTTACTTTTGGACTAGAAGCGGCCTGGGGTGGTGCAAGTGAGACCATCGCACAGGACTCCTGATTTTTGAAAGCTCCTGAAAAAATATATTTATATATATATATATATATTAATATTATAGGAATGGTATATACTTTAGCATGCTACATATTATCACAAAAGTGTGTGTGGCGGAGCTGGCTTTGTAGCGCGTATCTCTTAATAGAAGGGCCGTTTGGACTCCACCATTTGAAACACGAATTTGACTTTGCTTTCGTTTTTGTTTCCTTTTTTCCCCTCAAAAGTCAAGGGTGAGAATGTACCACATACGCATAGCTTAACTCGACCTCTCTGTTTCCTTGCAATTGTCCATGTCATTGTCAACGTAGACTTCAATGTCTGCAAATTATAAATAAGAGACTTGAAGAAGTTCCCATGCATAACTCAAGCTTTCTTCATTAACAATGGCAAAGCTCCTTCTGGTATCAGCCTCTGCACTAGTCTTTGTCATCCTATTGCTTGAGCTTAGGTTGGCTTACTCTTCAGCTGAACCACAAAGGCCAATAAAGGGTAAGGTTTTTAACCTTACATATTGCTCTAGCTGATATATATTTTCCATCGTTCAATTGATATTGAGTATATCAGTCATGTGTTTATATTAAATTTTGTGCAGAAACTTGGGAAGCCAATAATGCAGCTGTTAACACCGGTGGCTGCACAACAAAGAGCAAGGCCAACTTTGATAAGCAGCAATCAGATTTAGGCATGGCAGCTCAACCTCCACCACGCCTTTGGAGACGAATGGATCTAGGTAAGGACTATGATCATCCAAGACCAGGAAGAAGTCCACCACATTCTACACCTGGCGGACGTCCTTAGTACAAGGATCATGTCTTGTCTAAGATTTGTAGTGACAGTAGGGATATCATTGGATTTCACAGCAAAAACTCTTACCTGTGTATCCATTGCAATGTCTTCATTCTTGATTTCTTGTCCATATATATGTATGAAATTGTTTCGATAGTTAAATAAAATGTGTAGTGACCTGACAACGTGTCGGTCAAATAAATTTATTTGAGAATCTCTCAATAGAAGAGAATTTTACAAACAATAAATAATTTAATTTTACATAATTCAGGCCATGTTTGTAGCTATCCCCGCCTGTTCCCACTATTAGTATTGTTAGGGCCGATCTGATTCGGATTTCCAACCTCGCAAGCAAGGCTTCTTTTTCTTTTTTTTAACCAGTTTGCTTCTAGTTTTGTTTTTTGTTTCTTTGACTTCTTGTTTTTATTTCTTTTTTCCCCTCAAAAGTCTCTTTCCCTGTAATTGTCTTTGTCAACATAGGCCTTCAATGCATGCAAACTCTAAATAAGAGATTTGAAGAAGTCATCACATGCATAAGTACTCGAGCTTCATTGGCATGGCTCCTTGTGGTATCAGCCTCTGCACTAATATTTGTCATCCTTTGGCTTCAACTTGGATTGGAATACCATGTGGCTGTACAAAGACTAAGGCCAATTTTGATAAGCAGCTCTGTCAGCTCGGATTTTAAGCATGGCCCCCTCCGACGCCAACAGATAAAGGTAGGGATGTTGATCATCCCAGAACAAAAGCAAGTCTAGCACCTCCTCAAGCTCCACCGGGCAGACATCCCTAGTACGAGGATCGTGTCTTGTCTAAGATTCGTAGTGACAGTAGGATATCATTGGATTTCACTGTGACCACATAGACAAAGAAGAGGGACTCTGACTTTTGTATCCGTTGCATGGTCTTCATTCTTGATTTCCTGCCCATATATGTATGAAACTGTATGTTTCCCCAGGAAAAGTTAACAGTGAAGTTAACTGCCACCTTATGAATAAACAAATTGACAACCAGTTACCGTGGGTATTACAATTGCAATCGTCTACTTTGTGCTAATTTATCTTGATTGAACCTGCTTCGTGAATGTATCTGTTGAAAAAAATTGTTACAGAAACTAAACTGAAAGAAGAAAAAAAAAGAAAAAAAAACTTGTCACATTGATCATTAGTAAAATTCTGATATAGTGATGCCAGACACCGAACTCGAGAACAGACAACTTTTTATTCATCAGAGTCTCCAAATTAGTAAATAAAACATAAACATGAGGAGAGCTGATTGACAAACAAAGAAAGTAAAATTCCAAGTTTCTCTCTCAAAAAAAAATGAGAAACTTTCTACATTATATCTTGTTATGTGAGAGATTTGAGGAAGAAAAAAACTGACGCTTCTTGGTACCCTAAGATCTGTATATATTCAATGAACAGAAGCTGAAATAGATTGCTGATTGTACAACCCAGTTACCCCACTTCTGAGCTGCCGGCTTTTCCTCCTCTTCGTGACAACTGTAAATCCTTCGGCATCCCCCCCTTCTTTTGTATTTACATCCGTTGTTTTTGGCTGCTCAGAGTCACTGGATTCAGAAAGCAAGTCCTTCTTTCCTTCATTTCCATAGTGAATTTTAATAATCGCACTATCATTTTCTATGGCATCTGAACGGTTTTCCTGCTTACTTTCAGTTACAGGATCCTTATTCTGCTGGACAGATTTTACTATGAAGCTGAGCAATATCTGCCTTGCAAGCTCTGACTTCTCAGTCTCAGAGATGCTCTTTCTCAAAATGCCATCTTCAGCTTTACTATTGGAGTTTACATCCCGTTCCTCCTGTTGAGACCTAGTAATTTCAAGTGAAGGATTTGATTCACTTGCAAGTTCTGCATATTCATCTATAGGATCTGCTTGCCAAACCCTCCCAGGAACAAACTCAGGAGCATGTGGATTCATGAATTTTGGAGGCCCAGAACCACCACTTTCTGTAATGCGTCTTTGAAATTTCTGAACACCTTGCCGCAAGCGGAAAGAATAATTGGTTTTATAATACAAAGGCGACCTTGGCCCACAAGGAACTCTAGCAGCTGCTGGGGGGAGTACAGGTGCTGAAAGCATTACTTGACTGGCTCTCACATCGTACACACTTGTAACAGCTGCCGGATTGAGAGGGTGAGTCGTTGCGAGTGGTCTTGGAGTGTATGGTTCTGCAGCAGCTGAAAGCTTACTTCCATTTCTTTCTCCAGACTTTTCCTCAACAATTTCAGGGGCTGTAGCTTCCAACTGGGATGCACTTTCAAGACCTGTTCCATCCAACTTGTCATCTGGAATTTCTTCTACTACAGAATCTCCTATGCTTTCATCTATTTTTAATGTCTCAGGTGGAATTTCGCAAGGCTTGGTTTCAGGGTTTTCCACATTTGGGTCTTCAACTTTATCCAGCAGTGCCTTTAGAACTGTACCTGGAGGTGCCAAAGCTACTTCTTTGTAAGACACAGTTTTTGAAGTCAAGTTCGTAGTGACTGGAGTATTGGGAACTTTAGAAACAGAAGTTTTGGAATTAAGTTTAACTGAATCCTCCCCAGCACTCAAAGTACGAACCTTTGACTGTTTCGGTTGAGATAAATCAGTCAGAAAGCTCTTAGGAGCTGCATTCTGCGGTGGTGAAATGATGTCCCTCCAGTATTTGCCTTCTCTAAAATTAGAATATTCACTCTCTGGCCTCCTTCGACCAAACCTCCGGCCTGTAGCGGTACTCCCAAACCGGACCTTTGAACTGGCTTCTTGCCAACCTTCATCTGAAGTTGTTTCTTCAACAGTTAAGCTTGTAATTGGCAAACCATTTCCAGAAATTTTTTCTTCCTCTGGTTCCTGATGAACCGATCTATCCTCAACTACTTCAGTATTACCATCTAGCAAAATCTTGTTCCCGAGGTCATCATCAGCTATTACATTTTGATGTTCCTGAGATATATTATCACTCGACTGATGTACCTGAAAATAAGGAGAAATAATGTAAGGATATCAAACATGAAAGATGAGCTTAAATAGGTATCATATTACAGTAACATCACCCACTTCCATTGGATCTGGCCCAATGTCCAATTCAATGTTCTATGTCTAAATGAATAAAGACTCTAAAGGGAAAATAAATAAATAAAACCTATCCACCTTTGCACGCCGCTGCTTCCTATGAGCATCATTTACTTTCGAATCTTGATCGGGACTAATGAAATCTAGGAGATCCGACACACTGCACAGAGCCGAAAAGGGTTAATTGCCTGGACATATGATCATATAATTTGGAAGAAAGTAATCTGGGAATACCATATTAGTACCTAAGGTGACCTTTGCTTGCAATTAATGCATCTGGCTTTGGGGATCCATTTCGTGCTGCTTCTTGCTGCTCCAGAGATTTAGATTCAAAATATTCAAGCCATGCAGCTGCGTCCTGCTCAGGAATATATAATTCATTAATATGTCGACTATGCAACTTCAAACTATGTCTAATATAAGCCATGGCCATTTCATTTCCTTGTAGTGAGTAACAGAGAAGGCCAATTGCACATAATGTATCAAATAAATCCAATAAATATAGACAATAGCAAAGATTCTGTAGTCAACCTGAGTACGAAGATCCTCCGGCCCAAGTTTGGCCTGAAGTATCTTAAGCGTTGTTTGCTCATGCTGCACACTGAGGGAATATGCTTCCATCAACGAAAGAGCTATGGCTATGGCATGATAGCTTGCAGCAGTCTAAAAGGTGAAAACCATGTAAGAAGTTCAGCTTACCAGAGATTATATATTCTAAGTGTTTACAGAAGAAGGTGGGCCGTACATGCAGGCATGCAGGCTCACGAGTACGAGCACAACCACAGAGAGAGAGAGAGAGAGAGAGAGAGACCTGTATATGATCTGCTCCTAATAGTCTCTGATTGCATTTGAGAGCTTCGTGCAGGTATCTGAGAGCAACATGTACATTTCCCATGCCCTCTTCCATCATAGCCACATTTATGTACGTTGCAGCAGTATTAGGGTGAGATAGTCCACATGTAAAATGAAGAAGATACAAAGCACGATTTACATACCTACCAAGAACACACAAATCAGAACCGTAAAGAAAAAGTGAACACAAAATTTACAGGAAATATGTTAGTAAAAATAAGTATGAATCACAGTTGCCAATTTCATTGAAAAGTTATACAAGAAATGATTAATTCAACTTACTTTAAAGCCAATTCAATGTATTGAAGACGATAATAGAAAACAGAAAGATCCCCATAGCTTTTCATGGTATCTGGATGATCAAGCCCAAGTTCCCTTTCATTAATAGCTAAAGCCTTTTGCTGATAAATGGTCGCCTAGACAATGACAGCGAGGTATAAGATATACGGTATATAGAAGAACAGGATAAAAATATAAACGTGATCCATTACAGTTAAAAGAAAGTAATACCTGATTAAAATCACCAGTGTGGTAAAGAACTACTGCTAGAAGGCTGTAAGCACTTGCTGTAACTCGATGATAGGGGCCACAAACAGCTATCATCTTTGCTAGTGCCTTAAAATGGAAGAGGGAAAATCAGTATCAGAAAAAAGCTGGCACAATTTCGAATTAATATAGAGGTGGTACCTTTGTTCCAAAATTAACAGCATCCTCCAGCTTCCCTTTATCAAGAGCAATTTTGGAAGACTCCAACAAATTCCGTCCATCTGCTGAAGAGCATGCTACATGCTGTCAAAGAAGAATTAAAGAAATATTAGACATTTAGAATCCGCCAAAGCTGGGTTACTAAGAGGGGACTACTGAACAGAATAACACCTTACACACTGGAACCATGCTAATAATGTCGTATTTGCTGAAAGGATTTCGGAAATCCATGTCATAATCTTTCGGGGCCAACTCCAGACCAACCTGGAAAGAGAGACATGTAAAAATCATGACTCTGCTTTAATTGCATATCAGTGAGGCTCTCAGTCAAAAATAAAATACCTTATGACAAAGTCCTCGGAGAATTGATAACTTCC